GGGAAAGAGACTTAAAAGGCAGACCGACATTGCAAAAGACAGTTAACATGGCTACAGATTAGTACGAGGAGATTAAGCATAAAAATTTATAACACAGACATACCATTGGGAATATCTTTGAGTAGTGTACCTCGTCCCTGTATTATTCAAGAGTAAAATATTAACAGATCTAGAAAATGAAACGCTAAAGAGATCAAACAAAGGAAAATATGAGAAACCTTTTCAACGTGGAATTCCCTAGAAGAGTCTCTGTCAATCAATGCAACAAGCCTTTCAACAGATTTGCGTTCACGGACTGGGCGATCAGAATACGGAGTCCTTGGTTCTATATCCTTCTTTTCTTCCTCACTCTTTGTCTTTTCATTAACCTTTTCCTCTGTACTCGTTCCTTTTCCACGCTTTCTAGACCCCTTCTCATCCTTAGTCTCTCCCTTTTCATCTTCATTTTCTTCCTTTTCATCTTCCCCCTTGTCAATTCCATCTCCTTTCTCATCCTCACTCTCTCCTTCTTCATCTTCCACCTTCAGCTCATCAATCTTTTCCTCTGCCCCTGATCCCTCTTCTTTATTGTTGTCTCCCTTCTCTTCTTCATCTTTTCCTTCATCCAAACCCTCCTTTTCCTCCATAGTCTCATCCTCTTGATTTGCATCCACCTTTTCTACATCTTTGGCAGCTTCTTTCTCCATGTCTGCATCCACCAGCTTTTCTTCCTCTTTGTTGTCCCCTGTATTCTCTTCTTCATTTCCATTAGCTTTGTCCCCTTCTTGTTTAGGCTCCTCTTTCTCAAGTTCTTTCTCTGCTTTCTCTTGTCCTGCTTCAGTAGCACATGTCTTTTGGTCCTCTTGTTTTTCCTCCACTTTATTGTCCTTTATGTCACCAGACTCCTCATTTTCCTTCATAACAACATCTACCGCTGTATCAGCTCCAGCCACACCACCATTAGTTTCCTCTTCCTTACTATCTGTGTCTTCATCCAATTTAGCAGTCTCTGTTTGTCCCTCATCTTTTCCGACCTCTTTCTCTTCTTCCATTTTCCTTATCTCAGCTTTTTCCTCATCTTTCTTAATCTCCACATTTTCTATCCCGCCTTTTACTTCATCTTTCTTGACCTCAGCATCTATCTCCATTTTCTCAGGCTTACCTCCTTCCTCATCCTTCTCTTTTCCCTGTACTTCCTTACCCCCAGAATTTTCTTCCTCTTTCTCTGATGACTTTTGTTGAAGGTCAGTCCCATTTGTTGCTAGCTCAACAGGGACGGTCTTTGAATCTTGTTCCCCCATTGTTAACCCAGTTCTAATGTAATCGTATGTCCCAAAAACACCTAGCTAGGTGTCAAAGACTGCCAGAAAAATAAATTCATGGAGTCAAATACAAAGTTCATACAATCAAACCAGGAATCAATGTTTCCAGAAACAGCCACTTCAAAATTTTCTGGACCAAAACCACAACCAAAAGGTTACATAGAAGAAAACCTCATGTCAACATGTAATCCCCGAACTGTCTCAGTAGCTTAGTAACTTAGTTCACAGGAAACAGAATACAAAGAAGATTCTGTCTTCCATTGAAGACAGTGAAGCATAATGAGGATACGAGGGACATAAACAAATTCATATTATGATAAGGTGATAGAAAACCCTAAGAGGATTCTATCCGAAATCACTTGTGTCCTCCATGATTATCTTGAATTTATCCACTTTCCACCTGAATTGGAATACCTAAGAAAGATAATTTAAAGTGAAGAATTCAAAGTTGACAAAAAAAAAATCAAAATTTCAAGGCATAAAAGCATGTACAGAGTTCTTAATAAATCAGTCTCAAAACTCTTTCGGAAGAAACAAAGACCCAGATGATAAATCCAAACAACAAACACACTATAATCAGACAAATTCTTACAGATTACATCAACAAAAATCCCCAGAAAACCGAAATGAAAATCTTCTAGTGAATCTATCTTCGAAATTCATGCATTTTCGCAAGGGAAAACTCATCAAATCACCAAAACCTGCATCAAATAAGCAGATAGAAACCCTAGCTTCCTCGACGCAACTTCAAGAAGCACAGCAACAACATCCAACCAAACAACACAGAAATTCAGACACGATCCACAGATTGAACAGCTAAAACACAAAACCAAAAGAAGACAGCTTACAGAGATCGTCGCAGTGTCTACACGTCCGAAAGGACAACACTTTCGAAATCCTTACCTCTATATCCAAGACTCTCTCTCTTCACTGCGATTTTGTTCTCTTTAACTTCGTTCCTCCTCTGTTCGAAACAGATCAAACACCAACGCTTCGATCTTTTTTTTTTTTTAAATAAATTTTTGCGTTATTTTTTTTCCGGGAGCAATATAAGGATTCGGACGCAAACCTATGATTCAAATTCAGTTAACTGCCACGTAGGACGGTTCATATATTTTGAGTTTGATGGACGGTTCTGATTTCGCGTTCGAGGCATCTCATGGATCGGTGACGGTACACAAATCGGATGGACCCCACACCATTTGCATGAATAACATGATTATTGATTAGAGATCTCATAACACATTTATATTATAATTATATGATTCGTTCCTTATTCTTTTCATTTTGACTATTTTACTCTTAATTATATTTATCATGACGTGTACAACACGATAGTTCATTTTGTATATGTTCTTAATCTAGTATATAATACGAATAATATATTTATTTTTACTTGTAAACTATTTAAATTATTTTTTTAGGGATGAAAGTTGGAGTTTTTTAAAATATTTGACATTTTAAAGAAGTTTTTTCAAATGTTCAGATAACGTATTTCTAAAAATATTAAATTAAATTTTCAATAGTTGTATATGATAAAACGCAGAATTTTTTAGATATAATCTTAATATTGTAACGTCTAACATACTTTTTTTTTATAATCCATAAATTTATCAAACATTCAATCCAACTAAATTTTTCAAAGGATTGGATAAACCCAAATAAATATTATTTACAAAATGAAAACTCGTGTTGAAAGAACATCCCAATTTAAGTTTCAAAATTTACTTTCTATTTTTGTTTTTGATCGATATATTTAGAATTGAGATTGCAGTATCCCATTAAGAATAATACTCCCATCGTTTTAAAATATTTGTTGTTTTAAGTTATTTCACATTTTTTAAGAAAAGAGAAAAAAAGTCACATATTCCCTTATTTGATGATAAAAACAATGTTATCATTAATAATATATTGAAATTTGGTAAAAATAAAATTAGAAACTATTAAAAAAATATTGAAAATGTAGAATGACAAATATTTTGAAATATGAAAAATAAACTAAAACTACAAATATTTTGAAACGGAGGGAGTAATTCATCCGTTTATTAATAAATCCTGTTTTAGAGAATATTTTTAGTTATTTAATATATTTACATTTTAGTTGATTCTTTATGAAAATTTTTAATTTCACCATTAATTTATAATACACAACTTCAATACAGTATTAATGAGGTTATATATGATTTTTTATATTTCTTTAAAAATTGAGAAAAAAAATTCGCAACTACTTTTTTTTTGTATATGTTAGCAAATTTCAACTAATTTATATATTGGTTAGCACGCCAGAATAAAGAGATATTATCAATACTATCAAATAGTATGTCTTTTGTATACTTGTGTCTTGTTTAGTCCTACTGACTATTCAGACAAAAAAAAAGCAAAAAAAAAAAACGAGAAAAAAGAAGCTAGAGTAGATTCAGCATGATATATTTATGATGAAAAATTCAGTGAAGGATGGTAAACCCATCTAAGGATTGTGATTTAAATAGAACAAGAAATCTGCAATGCTCCAATATGTAGTCCGAAAAAAGAAAACTATTGAATTCTATTTTGCCATATGAACAAATGAAATTTATCATCCATATAAATGAATATTTACCCAAACGATTAATAACCATACAAACTATCCATATCCAAATTCTGATAGTTCAACCGGTGAAATGAAAACGTAAAACATCTGTTGTACCGCGAGTTTGAATCTCAAATTTGGAAAAGAGGTATATATTCCAAATCGTATGTTTGGCCCCCAACTCCAAAATTATTTTGTACTTTGGTATTACACTCAGTTACCCCAAAAAAAACAACATTCAGAAACGTTTTACAGAGATTCATCTAAATGATGAAAACAACATATAGGAAAAAAGAAAGAAAGAAAAAAAGGTTCATCAAAATGATGTGATGTTTATCTCTTCCGGGGGATCAAGAATCCATTTTTAAGAACAGAAAGACTTTCTTTTTACCACAAAAGCATTACAGTATGGGAGAACTTGCAGCGTACAAACCTGAAGTAATTGCAGAAAAACCCTTGCCAGGAATTCGAAAGTGGGGATCTGGAAAGGGATTTCATGGATGAATTGCACAAAGAAGAAGAGCTGCTCTTTGTCCAATGGAAGACTTCCCTTTCCTTCTCCTCCCCTATGGCAAATGCTCACTTTCAGGGTCTCACTCACTAAAGTGATCACATCTGCAATACTACAAGGAAGGAAATAACAGAGGGGTTTTCAGCAATCATGGAGGGTAACATGACAATGAACAAGTAGATAAAGCTCGGAAGAAAAAAAAGGCGAATTCATCTGTCTATGGTTACTTACCATATTCAGTTTTGTCCCATGACCCTTCTTTACAGGTTGTAGGACAAACAAGAAACTTTGCTTCTTGCCATCCAGAGAACAGTCAGCTTTGATGTCAATGAAAACAGGGGACAAGTATCAGAAACAAAGACACAGTTTTCATCTCTTCTTCTCATACTTCCTTGCAAAATCCTTGAGTAATAGTCTCTGACGAAAGTCTAGATACTTTTCCAAGCTGGTTCCAGCCCACTGCTGACAGAAGCTCTCGTCGTTTGGAACTAGCGAGCTCAGAGGAAATGGCCCTTTTGGAGCTTTCTTTAGGGCAACCAAGAAGCGGTGACGGGGACGTATTCTCTGATCCAAAGACAAGCTCAGATACATCGGATATTTTGTCAAGATGTGCACCTCGTTATTGAGCTCATTGACCAAGTACATATACTTTGGCTTTAGGTTGTCCTCCAGTGACAGAGACAACACCTGTAAGTCCAATTCGACAAAATTTCACATTGTATAAGCCACACTTGCAAAAGGGCGGATTTCGATAAAAGGGCAAGTAATCTAACCTGTGTGAGGCTAGTCAAGACTTTCAAGATATCTGAATTGTGCATACCAATGCTCCGTAGGAAATTGATTCTGGGCAACAACCCGTCATCGATACTGTAATGAAGAAGCTGTGGATGTTTCTTCACCATCTTCACTACACTATCTCTAGGTGCTCCCAGCTCTTTGGACAGGAACATGTAGCGAGTATTCCACGATATGTCAATCCGCTGAACCAAGATTTGTGGGCTAAGTTGCACAACTTTTCCTATATCGTTTTCATTAATCCCTACCTCCTCGATCAAATACCTGATCGTGGGTTTCAGGGAATTCTCGACGCTGTAAGAAAAAAGGGACGGACTTGCAGCAACAATCTGTCCTATTTTCGAACTGGGGATTCCAAGACTCTTCAGAAAGGAGATGTGAGCCTTCAGATTGTTCTCCACTGTGTATTGCAGGATTTGAGGTTGTCTCAAGAGCATTCTTTTGATATCTCTCTGTTTAACACCGACACTCAACAAGTATTCTAGTCTCTCTTCAGCTGATAGCACATTAATCTGAAGGGCTGGCATGTGCCTCTCATACATTTGGAGGAAATGTGAATCTTTCAGACCATACGTGCTCAGGTAATCAAGAAGCGGTATCCATTTCTCGTCCATATCGATCTCTTCTGAGAGTCGAGGGTACTGATTCCTTGACTTCACCTGGCATCAGTGTGAAAAAAAGATAAATAAGATCCTTTTTCGGCTTTACTTTTGTCGTCCATAAAATCTTATATGCATTCTTTTTACCTTCCCCCGATCTTCTATGCCCCAAGAACCTGTTTCCTTCTTCCTCTTCTTCGCCAAAGAACTTCCACCAATGTCAATATCCATGTCCTCTTCATCACTCTCGCTTTCTTCAGATTTTGCTGATCTTAAATCCCAACTCCTGTTGATTCCTTTCTTACCGCCTACACAAACAGAATCCACATCTTTGGCTATCTCAGTAAGTAGCATTTAAGTTCCATGACATGACACCAGTTTGAAGCAAACGTACCTCTCTTTGCATTGGTTCGTCTCTGCAACTTAGCTTTCTTCCCCTTCCCACTGTAATCTGAGATCTCAGCAAAGTCATCCTAAAGAAGCACAAGCAAAATCCCATTTCAGTCTTTTGAATTGTTAACTAAAGGTGATTGATTCAAGAATGAGTTAGAAACCATCAAATTTGCAGAATTTCAACTTCTAAAACCCTCAGAAACGAACATTGAATTCAGAATCTAAGGAAGAATTAACCTAAAAGGTACATTTTTTTCCAACGTCTAGGCTCAACAAAGCTGTAAGGTATGTTCTAAGCTCGAATTCCACATTTCCAACTTTATCAGATAAGCCTACACAAACTCAGAGCTGGCAAAGAAACTCACGTCGAGCAACCAATCATCTCCCGCCACGTCATCTTCGTCGTCGTCTTCGCTATCTTCCTCTTCTTCGTCTTCATCACTGTCGTATGGTGATAGCATTTGGCCATACCGCGACTTCTTGTTCGGCTTGAGTATCCTCGGATTCGAGTGCGCCGACGATACGACGAACCCACCCGTCGTTTTATGCCGCCTCCTCGTCGCCGGTAAACTTCCGGCAAGATTCAAAGCCAAGGGAGGAATGTCAGAGGAAAGAGAACAGAGAATCGGTGGGTTAAAAGGATAACAGAGAGAGAAAACCGCCATTTTCTGGGAGAGATAACGTAGCAGGGCTGAGAGATATCCAATGGGGCAAAAACGAATATACCCTAAAACCCTAACCCAAAAATTAATTTGTCAGGTCTTTGATTTTTCCCGAGCTTTAAAATAAAGAAAAACGTCAAAGGTGAAACCTTTGTGGTTAGCCTTCGGAGTTAAGAGGATGAAAACATCGTTAATGGAGTTTTAACGTTTCCATTGAAACGGCGTCGTTAATGCGTTTTGGATTTATCCGTAAAAACCCAGAACGAAACTGATACACACAATGAGCTTTCACATTGATTCTTCATGTGGTTGGCGCGAATCGGACCCGAGATATGCCGACGTGGTCTGATTTGAACTTCTCTTTGTTCTTTCTCGGAGAAAAAGGAGACAGCTTTACTCTCCGCAACAATGGAGGCTTCAGTGTCGCGTTCCGTCTCTTACGGACCGTCGGATCAAGAACCCAGCGGAGGAAATCGACGGCAGAGAACGCCCGGCAACATTTGCGGCGGTTGATGACGTGGCGAATTACAGTCCGGAGCTATCGGTAATTAGTGAACCCATCCATCAGTGGAACTGTTTTGAAGGGAAAGTTTTTTATTTTCAAGCGTTGATATGAATCATGCAGCTGGAATCACACCATTTGTTGTTCATCAAAAGAATTGTACAAACAAAGACATCCCCACTGTTATCATGCAAATGTGCTCCCCAGATACATGCGCATATATCGTGTATATGTGTATGCATATCTATCCGCGCATACATACATACATACATACATACATACATACATACATACATACATACGTACGTACATACAACCATGTTCGTGGGTTTCGGAATATATGTACTGCAGGTGGGTTTTTTCCATTGCAGTCATGGAGAAGATCCTTCACAGGTTGTGATCCCTACGATATGAGCTGAACAAAGTGGAGAAGAAAAGAAAGAGAGGTGGAGATTTGTACGAATACATTGTTGTTTTTGTTAATACAAACGTTAAGCTCTGTGTTTTTTTACAACACATCGTGGCTTCAAAAGTTACAAAGCACTGAGGCAGAACACAAAAAAAAAAAGCAGTAAATATGTTGGAAGGAGGTATAGTTTTGAATCAGATTCAAGACCAGACCTCCCCATCTCAGTATCAGGACATATATATATATATATATATATATATGTATATATATGTATGTATATTACATAGAACAGCTCGTTCCATTCCTAACCTAGGAAGAATCAAAGACTGTTGTTGTATTTCATGGTGGCAAGCTTTCTATGGACCAGATTGTATTCTTCCTATGCTCTGTGGACAGGGATGCGAGGAATGGTTCAACGACGATATCTCTCCTGTTTGAGCCTCACCTGGGTTGGTATCTCTCGGGCCATACTGGTTCACATTGCCGTTTAAGGCGGCGGCATAATAAGACGCCATGGGAGTTGCATGGACAAACCTGAAACCAGCAGCTCCATTGGAGTGAGTTTGGTGGACGAACACAGGGTGAATCTGTTGTGTCTGGTGCTCGTTGGATGTGTGATCGGGCCCCGAAGCTATTCCAACGCCGAGGTCGAGGCTGATTGTGTCGGCTTCCTCATGTCTGAACCTAGGTTGTCCAGCCGACATGTCATGGTTGTTAGACCTCGCAGTGGGTACGTCGTGATTGTGTTTGCCCTCGTACGTTGTTATTACAGCTTTCGGATCATGTGATGCCCTCTCTACGTGTTTTCTCACGGGGCAACCAGGAGCTGTGCATTTGTAATAGCTCCTGCAGAACACGATTTGCAATAATCCTCCATGGGTATGTCAAATCTGTTATATATTTGCCCGATATGACACACAAATTTCGATTTTTCTTAAAGCTCCAAGCTTTGTCTGCCCAGTTTCTTGAAAACAGTAACACAAACCTGGGATTAGGGTTTCCTCTAACGACTTTCTGCCCGTACTTGCGCCACCTATAACCATCGTCCAGTATGTCAACCTCACTCAATGTCTGAACAACAACACGAGGCTCCCGGATCGGTTTAACAAGTGGAGTTATTTCCATACATCCATCCATCCTCCTGCATAAAGCCGCAACAAAGCTCTCTGCATGTTAAATAAACCACAATATCGAATAAAGTACCTTAAAACCTTTGTTCAAACCCTAGTATACCTCCGTTTCGAGAATGGATCATCATCATCCAAGTCATCATTATTCCTATTCGACACTGCAACTTCCCCACCTTCCTCGCTTGCCGAGACAGGAGATACCTCGGAGTTTCCATTTTGCTCGAAGGGTTGAGACCCATTATTGTACATGCTGGATCCCTTCTCTGCTATGCAGAAATAAAGAATGAAAGGGAAAAAGATTTTGTTACATATGTTCTTGAAGGAAGAGTACAACCTCAATTCTCAAGTGATAGATAGTTTACCATCTCGGCCAGTTAAGGAAGAAAACTTGTCCAGTCTTTCTTCTTGCGCAGACATAAGAAGACCACCCGAGTTTCGACGGGTAGGTTGAGGTTTAGGATGATCGTGTGTACCCTTATATACTATCTCGGTGATCTGCCCATCGTGAGACCTTTCGAATAGCTTTTTCACTTCGCAGTTAGGATGTGTGCATTTATAATAGCTGCGCGGAAATTCACTTCCTTTCACGTGTTTTTGCCCGTATTTTCTCCAGTTATAACCATCGTCAGCTAAGACCGACGGTGCACTTCCTTTCTGATCGTTCTGCGATGCCTGGCTTGATTCATCCACATCAGATCCAGCAGGAAATAAAACGCAGAATTTTT